ATCCTCTGAGCCACATTTTCCACTGAAATCCTAAATGATGTTCCATTCTGCTCAGAACTTCTCCATCCTTTCTCTTCTTTTTAGATTTTTTTTTATCCATCATCCTCTGCGTGCTGCTGAAAGGTTTGAAATCAGTCACAGAGCTGCACGTTTATCTCGGAGCAGGAGACGGACAGGTGGAGATTCTCTCCTGGCTCCTGAGCTGACAGACTCCAGACTTCACCTTGGCCCTTTAATCCATCAGAAACTCAACGAATGAAATCCAAGAACATGGTTCTGAAAATCATTTCCCACTTGATGAGGAAATCTGCCTCGTGTTAACAAACATGCTGAAGTCATTAGTTAGCTGACTGTTCAGTAAAAACAGAACTATTTTTTTACTCACTCCTGTGTTTGGACACAAACATTTTATAATCTGCTGACTGATTAAAAATTGTTCTGCAGAGGGTTCAGGATCAGGACTGGTTCTGATCAGCTGGAACTTTGTGGCTGTTTGCAGAAGTGGTGCGTTCAGGTTAAGATCAAAAACACTGTAAAGCAGAGCTGCTCACATGGAAGACAACTGGTCAAAGAAACATCACAGGTTTATAAATGTTGCTTTAAATGTAGATATTTAATTGAGGGGCTCAGATCAGCGTGAGCTTCTAAAGGCGATAGAAGGAAACATTAAGGAGGAGGAAGAACTCATCAGTCAGTTTGAAGGCCCGTTGCTGCGGAGCTTCTCACAACTTATACAACCTTTTTTTCCACCTGCTGTCAAAAGGCAAAGGTGGATGGTAATGTTTTTTTTTTACCCGCAAGTGAGAGTGTTCCCAAAATATTGCATCAACTATTGGATGAAGTTTAATGAAACTTGGACTAAGCTCATTCATTTTCTAGGTTTAAACCCATAAAATCCATCCCTTCTAGATTTCAGATATTAGACCTGACCAGTGTCTAACGTGTCTCGTTCTTCTTCCAAAAAACAATTTACAGTAAATGCTTCAGATTTTGCACATGGCTCTGTTTCTGTCCAAATATCTGCTCACACTTGTTGGCTAAGACTCCAAAGAGAAAAAKGTTTKTAATTCTGTCCCTTAGTTTGAAATCAGCTGCACTGATCTCTGCTTTAAAGGCTCAGGAACAGGAATCCTTTTGACCTTTTAGTTCTTTTCTCTGATAAAGAATTACAGCTCACAGCTCTGATTCTCTTCTTATTTAACTCTAAACGCAACAAGGTTTGTTGCAGAAAATGTTTAGAGAATTTTGAGGAGAAGAACAAATTGAGTTTTTAAGGCCTCGTGTTTGATTTGTTATTTTTGGACTGTTTAAGGTTCAGGCTGTAACAGGATGTGATTCCTTCACAATAAAACACTAAAGATGTGGAATAAAAACACAAGATGAGCTGGTTTAAGATATGAAGGAAATCATCACAGAGAAAAACATTAAACATAAGTTTTATTGAATTTGAATTGAATTTAAGTGAATTTGCCTCCATTCTAATTAAACTGATCACACGTGGCCACAAATAAGCAAACAAAAATAAATAAAAACACAACAAATGTAGCTCAGCAACTTATTTTTAAAAGGTTTTATTCAAAAGAAAAGCATCAAAGATTCTCACAAGGTTCAAATTCTACTAAAACTTGTTCTTTTTTGTACTTTTTAAAATTACTCTAAGTTCAGCAATTTGACAAGAACAGATCTCAGATAAAATCTTTGAATTTTTAATTGTCATTTTTGATAGTTAATTACAAGTAAAATAGTTTAGAATCTGAACAGAAACCTGAGGACTTGCACTTCCAGGAGATGTGCTGAAGCTAACTGACTCATCATTTTTTGAATAATTTATCCAGACCAACCAAAGCTTTTTGTCTTGAAGGAAACTTTGGTTTTGTTTCAGCTCCTGGGAAGAAGTTCTGGGTGGCACCAGTTTCCACGTTAGCCTGCTTCCAAAATAACCTTCATGGCAGCACCAAATGCCATGATTGTTGTTTTCCCATTCTGTGGTGTCACCAGCAGCCACTTTGTTCAGATCAGTGGATCTTCAGAAGCTGCTAGCAGCTCTGCTCTGTGTGAGGCTCAGCTCCTAGCCAGGCTCAAAAACCTTGGTTTTAGTCAAATACGTCGGAGCGCTGGGGAAAGTGGAACTCTAAATCTGCCTGCAATTTGCACAGTGACTCATTGAGGTGAGGGCATCGTCTCCCCACATCCAGACCACAGGGAAATAGAAATCCTTGGTTTGCACCTCGAAAAGGCACCATTTCAACGCCCCGCTCTACAAATTGACAACATACAAGCTCAACACAAAACTGAACTCCAACGTCAATATGAGGTCAAAGGATCCAAAGCTTCTTCTGATGCTTCCCTTGCATCTCTTTTGGGGGGAAAACAAACAAAATATATATTCTTATACTACGTTAAAACTGTTTAT